TTCAGTTAAAAATTGATTTAGACGAAAACTTTTTCCACAGGTCACACATGAAAACGGTTTTTCACTGTTGTGAATCTTCATGTGCCGAGTTAAATTCTGTTTTAGACGAAAACTTTTTCCACAGGTCACACATGAAAATGGCTTTTCACCAGTGTGAGTTCTCATGCGAGCATCAAAAACAGATTTTAGAGCAAAACGCTTTTCACAGGTCACACATGAGAAAGATTTGCTTTTTTTCTGATTTTGGTTCTCAGCTTCAGCAGCTTCCTGGAAGATGACTTGGTTCATTTTTGGTTCTGATTCAGTGTGGGATATTTGGTCATCAACAGGAGTCACCATGCAGGTATCAGTCTCCTGTTTCAGCTCAAGCTGTTCTTCACCCTGACTGCAGTAAACTTCTTTCTCTTCCACTTTTATCTGCTGGTGTTCTAGATCCTCCTGCTCTTCTTTTATCTGCTGATCTTCTGATTCTTCTTGTTCTTGTTTCACCTGCAGAGGTTCTGACTCCTCCTGGTCCAGAGTGGATCTCCTCTCCTGCTTCCATAGCTCCTCCTTAACATTATGTAGCAGGTAATCTGGATAAGAAAAACAGAAAAAAGAGGAATTGTTAACTTTATTTTTTGAAGTAAAAAACTGACTTTCATCATTTAAGACAGAAATCACCAAATGAACACACCTGAAAATAAAGAGTGCAGACATACAGACAGATAAGTTCACATATTCAGCTGACATTTGGAAAATTATCAAATAAAAAAAAAAAGTATTACGTTTTTCATTGAAGGTGTTAGAGATTTTTTGGTATTATCATTTTGTTATTACTTTAGTTCATATTCAGTCTAATATTAATCAACAGTAGTTAATCGACATTCAATCTATAGATTATTAAAGTGTTCTCTTCCTTCTGTGTGTATAAACTGACCTGGAGGTCACATCTGCCTGTTTGTCTTCATGTGAAACAGTTAACTCTGTGTTTCCCAGATCTTAAATTATGTTTCCACAGGTGCCTTCTTATCAACTGGAATACTCCCTATCTTAGAAACAGCAGTCGTATTTCGTCTGCTGTCTCCCTTCCCTGTACTCCCTTCTTTTTGCTTGATAATAAAAGACGAGCTGTAACCAAGGGTCTTTAGAATGCTCAGTGAACGGCTTGGAGGAGCAGTTTGCTGAGTCTTCTCCTTTTGCAAAAGCTTGGTCATAAAATTCATATATGTTGTCTGTGGTTCTTTTATGAAGGTTAGAGGAAAATACCCATCAGTAGGCATTATTGTTACTGCTTAAAAGTTGATTTTATTATTTCTATGTATTTTCTATGTTGGAGCTATTAACTTTTTATTTCTATTACTTTTAACTTTGAGTTATTAAACTTTGAGTTTAATAACAAAGTTCTCCTTAACATTATGTTAAGTTATTAAACTTTGAGTTTAATAACTGCTTATTTTATCATTTTGTTTGTTTCTTTACTTTTAAAGGAACAAACACATTCCTAACCCAGATTCTTGACAGTGAGTCCATTTCTACAAGTATAGGGAGGAGCAGGAGAGGAAACAATGAGAAGTTTGATCTTTGTTATTTGCTTTTCAAACTGGAAAGAATAAACCATAAAAGCAATC